CTACAAAATACAGCAATCACCTGACTCTTTCAATAGGGAATTTTCTTACGATACCATTACTTGGCAATATGTCACTTACCTTACAAAATTAGTCTGGACATTTTGACTACTATCAGCACATCAACCATGTATTAGAACCTCGTTAAACTCTGGTATCTATCTTCAACTTTTTAATTTATCATTCTGTAGAGTAACAAAATCTCCAGACAGAAGAAACAGTGCGTATTTAATTGTATATATGATCAGTACACCATTTCTTCCTGTGTTCCAGTTCCAGTCCGTTGCCCCAAGTCCTGTGGCTGCATACCACCAACCAGAGCTTGGCCCCATACATTTCACTGTCACACTTCAGATATTTATAAAGCTATGAGATCCCCTCTCAGCCTTATCTTCTCCAGGCTGAACAGCCCCAGGTCTCTCAGCCTGTCCTCACACAGGAGAAGCTCCAGACCCCTCACATCTTTGTGTCTCCCTGTTGGACTTCCTCCACAAGTTCCCTGTCTTTCTTGAACTGGGGAGCCCAGAACCGCGCACAGTGCTCCAGATGTGGCCTCACCAGGGCAGAGCAGAGGGGAAGGATCACCTCCCTTTCCCTGCTAGCTGCGTTCTTTGTAACATACCCCAGGATACTACTGGCCTTCTTGGCCACCAGGGCACATTGCTGGCTCATGGCCAACCTGTCATCCACCAGGACCCCTATATCCTTCCCTGCAGAGCTCCTTTCCAGCAGGTCAGCCCCTAGCCTGTACAGGTGCATGCAGTTATTCCTCCCCACGTGTAGGACCTCACCCTTGCCTTTGCTGAACCTGATCAGGTTCCTCTCAGCCCAGCTCACCAGCCTGCCCAGCTGTTGCTGAATGGCAGCACAGCCTTTTGCGTATCAGTCACTCTGCCTAGATTTGTATCATCAGCAAACTTGCTGAGGATGCACCTCTTCATCCAGGTCACTGATGAAGATGTTGAGTTAATTGAGACTCTGTGCTGCTGATGCAGGGAAGATGCAGCACCTGAAGGCCAAATGCACAGAAAAGAATGTCCCGCAGAGACGCTAAGAAGGATTAAGCTATGTTAATTCATAAATAGCAACAGACACTCCAGGCTATACACCACATTTTGTATTTTGCTCCACAATACCACAATTTTAGCTAAATTGCCTCAATTTCTTTGAGCAACACTTTGAAAGCCATCCTAGGAACAGTCAAGGACAAATTAGTTTACCATCCCGAGGAAAGGCAAAGAAGTTTGATGACTTTTTGCACTTCTTGACTACTACACTGAACTATTTTAACTTCAGTGCTAGACTCCAGGCTTCAGTACTAACATAAGCCAGTGAAAGAAGGTCCTTACTGCCCTCAAAGAACGTTGATTCAAGCCTTTCAGTCAGCTTCATTGAATGACTATTAGTGTCAAAATTATGCACTGATTTGAATCACTCTTTCTCTAGCTATATTTTTAAACACAAAAACTTTTGCTGGAAACAGCTCAGGTATTCTCATTGTAAAACAGAAGCTAGGAAAACAAACAAAAAAGCTTTTCTATCTGTGTGGAAAAATTCTGGAGGTGAGAGTGCATGAAGGGGAAAGGGAGAGGGGAGAGGAGAGGAGAGGAGAGGAGAGGAGAGGAGAGGAGAGGAGAG